ACAGTCTACATCGGATATTTCAAAAACTGGTCAGTTGATCTGAATGAAACTTACGAGAAAAGTTTAATCAAGGTACAAGGAAGAAATGTTTATGTATTAGTGACGATCCAGTGAAGGGTGTAAATTTGAGGGTCTTTTCAATTTTTGAGGACCCAGACATAAATATCTCTTCAAAAAAACCAACGGGTCTAAATGAAACATAATACTTTGTAAATGGCTTGTAAAAAATGATTAAATTTTTGTGACGATTCCCAGTATGGTGTGGACCATTTAATGGAAAACGTTCCAGACCACTATTTCAAAAACAGATCAACAGATCTGAATAAAACATTCGGAAAAAGTTTAACAAGGTTACAAGGAAGAAATTATGTGCTTGCGACGAATCAATCGAGGGTGTAAATGGGAGGATCATTTCAATTTTGTACATTAGAGAGTCATTTAAGTTTTTGAGTTCCCAGACTTAAGTATCTATAAAAAGTTTGGGTTTAAAATAGTTTGTATAGATGCAGTAAAAAAAATGGCTGAAATTTTGTGATGATCCGGCGTGCGGTGGGAATATGAGAACCATTTAAAGGAAAACGTCCCAGACCAAATTACAAGGAAGGTATTATTATGTGTAGGGGAAGATCCAGGATAAGGTGTAAATTGAGGGTCATTTAAATTGCTTACGTCCCAGTTATAGATTGACAAAAATTACATTTGAAAAATAGTTTTTCATAGTGAAAAGTAAAAAAAGTTCCAATTTTGGTGACGATCTGCAGTAGGGTGTGGATATGAGGATCATTTAAAGATTTTTTGTTGACAGTTGATTAAATTATTTAAACGCAATTCTATGCATGAACAATTTTGCTTTCAGTCATTAAATCGCTATGAACTGAAAATGCATTCGCCTGCAAAGGTTGGCCTATATAACGCGCAATGGTTATGGATCACGATGTACCTCACTATTACCATTGCAAACATAGTTCAAGTGTCACTAATAACGTCGCAGTGTACTTGGTTGTCGTTTTTTTTTTTTTTTCCACTTCATTTTTTCACTTTATTAAAATTACAGTATATTGGTTTTGTGTTTTTTTTTTTACTTCATACCTTTCAACGACTTTTTTTTTTGCTGCAATTTTAACTTCATTTCTCATTGAGCAATGGGGAAAAGCCATATGTTCTGTTGTTCAAAGAGATATAGTAAGTCTAGCTATTATTATTATTATTATTATTATTATTATTATTATTATTATTATTATTATTATTATTATTATTATTACTATTTGGCCCACAATACAATGATAAGCAAACCTCGATAACTTTAATTACAAACATTCAGTGAATGCTAACAAATTCGAAATATACATTTTAACATTAATTTGGGGATTTTTACAATTGCTTACCTTTGTTTTGTTGAGAAGAAGCAGACATAGGCCAAAAACAACAATCGACGCACCCTTGAAAACCACCATTTTCATCAATAGAAAACCGGCTGTAAACGTACCTGTTTCTGGAGTTGGAATTAAGTCAAATCGCTACGATGGGTTCTTTTATATAGGGGCCTACTTATGACGATTGCGGAAAACGAAAATTCAAAAAGTCATTGAAATCATTCGGACAAGCCCCGCCCCTTGGATACACCAATATTTTGGTTCTATAAAATGGCAGTACGAAGGTAAAAGTGAGAGGTAAAGATAGACGTGATAATCAACTAAAGCTCCTTACCAGAAATAATATAATCCCAGTTAAGCTGATCTTAGCTGTATAATGATTACTATTGCCGGAATATTACGGTAACCGATGCAGCCAAATATGGGTATAAAACGAATCAATAAAATATGTGTAGGCCAAAGCAATAAGTATGTTAAACTAAGATTATGTTTTTTATTTCCTCCATACTTATTTATACACGGATTCAAACTAACTTTTAAAGAGCAATTTCAAGATCAATGGATTATTACCTTGATGAAAATGATCTCATTAATTTTGACCGCAAAATGATAGGCACTTGTTTTTGATACAATGGCGCACACTTGCAGCATCATGCAGACAACGTTGCTGTATCAGCATGGAGATGATACAATGGACCTTTCTAGAGTGTCAATCAAACTTACCAAGTGACCAATCAGAACAGGACCAGAAGTACGCGCGTGTCTAATAAGCACACGTTGTCCCACAAGAACACGTATTTGCGTATGTTTTAACCTGTCGTTTTGTGATAGGACCTTAGCAACATTATCCAAGGGGCGGAGTTTAGCTGAAACGTCCATATTGTATAGCTCCAGGG